CTGAAAGACTAGCATGTAGCCATGTTACCGGGGTATACTTTCTATTCCAAATCACCAGTTTTCTGTTGCATAGCTTCATCTGCTTAAAGAACATTACAAGAACGAACTTGATTGTACCTTTCCTGCAAAAGCTTCATTAGGCCACATCCCATTCTTGGAAGTCTACACCTCAGTGTTCAAACTTCTGGGTGGAAAAGATGTGTTCCTGGCTGCACCTGCAGGGACTTTGTGCTGCTATAATGTATTAATTTCCAGGCACGTTCACCATGGACTCCAAACCTAAAAAGAATCAGGAAGCACATGCTTCATATTCCACTGAATCACTCCCTTTTAATTTATATTTTGATACAGGAGCCTATTGTCCTTCGTTTTTCAAGTCAGGTCACCTCTCCTTAGGTTACAGGGATACTCTGTGTAGGGAATTTCTTTGTACAGCTGTTTCTGCCCCTATTAAGAAAAAAAAAACATGGAAAAAGTACAGACCCAGAAATGCTTTACATTAAATAATTAGGATGACTGGAAATTAAGATAGAAGACATGCACGCAAACTTAAAATTGGTGGGAGAATAGGGTGGACCTTTACACTGGTTCAACTTATACTCCAGTTGCACTGTTGCTAGATCAGGAGATTCTGCTCACAACTACTCATGCTTTAGTATCATCTGTCTTGTTGCAGCACACTTTGGAATTCATCTTTGGAAAGCATTCAGCAGCTTCAGCCGTTCCATAATATACCAGCATGTGTAGTATTGGGTGTACCAAAGTTTGCCCATGTAACATTTCTGCTGTGTGAGCTATATTAATGTTCCCAGTATGCTGCCAGGTGCAATTCAAAGTGCTGCCTAGCTACATGGCACAAGGCCAGATCACACGTGAGCCGGCCTGTTTCCATTCATTTGTGCACATCTCACCAGATTTGGCAGGGTGAGCACACTCTGGATCCCCTTAGTAAAACAGGGTCATTATGCGGACAAAAGGGGATTTCTTGCTCCAACACCGGAAGTTTTTATGAAGAGACTGGACAATCATTTGTCTGAAAAAGTATAGGGTTTCCTGCCTAAGCAGGGGGTTGGACTAGAACAGGGCTTTTCAACCACTGGTACGGGTACCACCTGTGGTACATTGGCACCTGGCAGGTGGTACGCGACCATCCTAGAAAAGTGGTAGCGGGGGAGGGGAATGAGCTGAACCGGTGGCAGCACCGCACAAGCCTGAGCGAGAGATGGCTGGAGCTGCAGGGCTGTCAGGGCTCAGCGGAAGCACCAGGATCAGCGCCAGGCTCCAGCTGATCTTCGGGCCTTTCAGGGCTCACTGTCTCAGTGTCCCAGGGTCATGTGAAGTGACCAAAACCTGCTGCAACCACCCAGCAGATGGGGGGGAATAAAAACCAAACACCCCCCCACCCCCGCTGCCAATCCTCAACAGAAATGCTCACAACAATGGAAACCTCGGACAGGAGGAAGAGCGCCGCCGGGCGGGCAGGCAGGTGTCTTGCTCGGCTGTGGCTTGGGGGGGCACTTTTTCCAGTGCCATTGTAACTTCAAACAGTCATTAAGTGAACTGTTGTAAGTCGAGGATTACCTGTACTTTATCACTTTTTTCCTTTTTTTCTTTTTTTTTGGTCATCAAGTTTTTGACACCTTGCTAGTCGACTGGTGGTACTCGGATGTTGCCATATCCTAAAAGTGGTACAATGGGTGAAAAGGTTGAAAAGCCCTGGACTAGAAGACCTCCAAGGTCCCTTCCAACTCTGTTATTCTAATTCTTTTCTGTTGCAGTGTCTGCCTAGTGCAGGGGTAGGCAACCTTGGCTCTTTTATGACTCGTGGAATTCTGGGAGTTGAAGTCCACGAGTCATAAAAGACCCAAGGTTGCCTACCACTGGCCTAGTGGAACAACTTCTCCTTGGAAGTCAGGATGGTACTGACCCCATTGGCCTTAAGGAAAGTTGTAATAAAACTAGTTTTTCTCATATAAGCATTAGGGCTAAGTTGTTAATGGAGTTTGATGTTAGTAAATTTGATATTGAGAATTAGGTGTGAGATACCTTGAACTTTCATACTCCGCATGTTACATTTCACTGCTTTTTTGTATCTGTATTTATACTGTTTTTAATGTTTTTGCACAGTGATGTCTCCAGAATTGTTTAGGATCAGTGACCATACGAATTTTATGAATAATGACCCTTAGGAATCAAGCAATTTCATATAATTTGAATTTCTATAAATCTGCCATAAAAGCTGCATTTAGCATGGAATGGTTCTGGCACCAATTCTTGTCAATGTACATGTGCAGTTTTTATAGCAAAATATTTGCTGAGTGGTCATCCTATGGAAGCAATACACTTGGTATTTATTCTCTCAAGTAATAGAATATTGGAAGATAGGAACAGGCAAGTAGCACCATCAGAAGGTGACGGCAACAGTGGTAACAGCAAGCAAAACCAGGAGGTGAGAAAGGCCTGAAATAAACGCCAAGGTTTTTTTCTAATTTTTCTAATTTATTCTATCATGTCATCTTCATTTTGTGAGAACGGAATAGGATAATACGAGCTGCTGCTACAAACTAAACTCCTAATACAACAGGCTTGTAAGTTACGATCCAAGTAAGCAAATTTGCAATCTGAAATTTTCCTTCTTGAAACTCCATTATTTCAAGAACTCTGTGTTACCAGTTCACTGAATTTCTGTTATCCTTACTATTCTTTAATAAAATTCAGTCTGATTTCCCCATAAATGCAATATAATTGTCACGCTAAACCAAAGCAGAGAAGCATGTGCTTCAGAACTTATTTTAGCAGTGGCCAGCCAAAATGTTTTAAGTAGAATATATTAGCAAAATTCTTCCATCTGTTATGACTACAAGCTACCTATGGCCTATAATTTATGTAGTAAGTACCTACCTATGGTAGGTATCATCATGTAGCATTGAATTCCATACTTTAATCACATCTATTACATAAAATAGCCTTTCTGTTTTTAAACAGGCTACCAATGACATTTTTCTAGAATCTATTCCCCACCACTATGAAATTTAATCCCAACTGACACTAGCAGTTTGATAAAAAATACAAATATATGGGGTGGGCGGAGCAAGGAAGAGCCTAATTATGTTTCTATTGATGTTTTAATAGTAAAAACTAGTTCTTCCATAATCTCAAAAGTAAATTAGCCTAGGCAAGTGTCTAGGATGTCAAAAGCTGCTTCAGATCTATTCAAGTTTTATTCTTTCAGCAAGAAAATGCCTCATTGTTGAATGACAGGTTGCTAATTCCCCTTTCTTTGAGCTACCTGTTGCTCATCTCAGCTTTATGTGCATTAAAAAAAAACCACTTAGGCATACAGGTTACAGGTTCTCACCTATCTTTTCACATATTTGCTTTTTTTTTAAATGTTCTGTATCTCCTGATTATTGAGATGAAGTGTTGGATAAAGTAAGCATGAATAATTTCACAGACACTGATCCTGCTCTCTCTAAATAATGGCCTCTTTAAAAATATCACAAATCTCCTGCAAAGATACTGGCAGTTCCTGAAGTTATTCTAGCTTTTTCCAAGGTGCATAAATGAAGTACAGATTATCTGACCAACAAAACTAAAGCAGAGCTTCCAGAGAAGATGTAAGTTACATAATAAACCCCATTCTGTCTCTACAGAATCTAGCATACTATTCATTCTTACAGGTAGTCCTCATTTAGCGACCACAGCTGAGAGGCAACTAGGTTGTTAACCAAAGTAATTGCTAAGTGGATGGTTTATTGATTGATTAGTCTTATGACCATATCAAAAATATAAAACAAAAATAAAATACAGGATATAAATCCAGGGTAAAATAGGCAAAAGGAAAACACAGTAATAAAATACATGTGTGTTAAATATTGCTAAATGAAATCATGACTGCTTATGATATTATTTATCTTTTCTGTTTTTCAGACCCATGAAGGTCAGAAATGGGGAAATTGGCCATAGAGTTACTTTTTCATTACTACTATAACTGCAGAAACTAAACAAGGCAATCACTAAAGAAGAATTATCTGCTACTTAACATAAATAAGCTGCCCAGAGTTGCTTCAACAGTGAGATAGGGCTGGATATAATTTAAATAAACATAAAACAACAGAACCTTTTTTTTAGCTCATACAATAAACTTGCACTAGACTAGACCTTGCCCACTCCGTCCCACCTCACTGCTGCAATAAATAAATAAAAATATCTATTTGAACTGCAAACTTATATCCTACAGCTGTTTTTTAACTTCGCCTCAGTTTTAAAAACAGTTTATCCCACAGCGTGGGCAGAAGCCATTCAAGATAAAGAGTTCAAAATCTCCTGATCCTGGCATTTGTAGTACACTGATGTTAGTACAGTACTGTTAATATATCAGCAATATATATATTATAAAGAGAAGAAATCATACCAGGTTGATGCTGAATGATATGCATTTCAATTTCTCCAAGCTCTGCTTTTGTAGCTGCTCATGTGATCATGGCTTCTTAGGAAGGCCTGGCATTTTCTTGAGACTCCAGCTCTTGCCAGCCGTCTGCTTTCCTCAGCAAGTCCAGCTGTGTTTAATCATCATCAGTTACCATATCTGCTCATTCACAATCTAGCCAAATTCCATTTCATTCTCCTGACCCCTGCAGGAAACAGACATATTAATGCATCCTACCTGTTCAAGTCTGATCTGCTCCTTAAAACCTGAATGTGCACATTATTTTACTCCTTGTATAATCCCTATATGCAATACACAGGGAGCAAGCAAAGTCTGAGAAGCGAATCAGATTGCAAAACAGTATGTTTTCTTTTACTAAAAATTTCAAGTTGTGTGTGTGTGTGTGTGTTCTATGTTCTATGTATGTATGTATATTCTGTCCCAAAGAAGTCCCAGGGCATAAACTACCAGTCAACCAGAAGCATCCATGATTTTCAATCCTCTTAAGCAGGACTTAAACATCTTGTAGCTTCAGTGATGAATGAGGCTACTTAAATATCTTTTTGCAGAAACACAAAATCTTTTGACTGTGATTCCTGAAAACTTACAATACCATAATTTATCATTCAAAGGAAAAGTCTTCAATAGTTTCAAAACCAGTTTAAAAACCCATGTAATCTAAGCCTCACTTACACATACCATTAAACATTTACTCTCACTAAATATTCAACTGCTGTAGATCAGTGTTTCTCAACCTTGGCAACTTTACGATGTGTGGACTTCAACTCCCAGAATTCTCCAGCTAGCATACAGTGTAGATAGACGTGATTGGCAGAGTCATCAATGAGTTTCTTGCTATCTGGGAATTTGAATGGCCTGCTGTCTAAAATCACCCATAATTTCATTCTTTTTTTAATGTTTCAACAGATTCTCCTCCAAAGTTCCAATGTCTCATTTTGTGGTACAAATCTAAGAAGCTAGATTATCTTTTCTTATTTCAGTATTTATACCTCACCCCGATGAACTAGGTACAGTTAATAAAAATAATTAAAACAACTGCTAACTCCATAAAATTCAAAATATTTTTAAGAGTTATGGTTAAAAGTAGTGAACATTGAATGGAAATTAAAAATAAAAATAGTAAAAACCAACCATTAAAAGTAAGGCAGTCAGATGATCATTAGCTACTCCTCAAATGCTCACTGAAATAAAATTGTCTTTACCATCTTCCTCAAAATAGATATTGCGGGGGTGGTCAGGGCTTCTGAGGACAAGCTAATTGTCTTGTAATGGGGCAGACAATAAGACCTGTCTCCAGGCTCCCACCCCCTCACTCCTAATGAAGAAAGGATCCAAAGCATCCTCTCTCAACTTAAACATACTGTATAAGCGGATTCTGTTTGGAGGAGACATTCCTTAAGACAGGGGTCCCCAACCCCCGGTCTGTAGACCGCAACATGCCAGCAACCGGGCCGCATCAACAAGCCCCATCCGTGGGATGCAGGCAGCACACAAAACCACGCATCTCCGGTCCACGGAAAAACCTTTCTCCACGGAACCGGTCCCTGGTGCCCAAAAGGTTGGGGACCTCTGCCTTAATATATAGGAGCCAAAATCCACAGGGCTTTATAGTTTAATACCAAAATATTAAACTGTACCCAGAAACCTAGTGGCAATCAAAGCAAGCCTGCAAAATAGATATTCCATGCCAAAACAGCTTTGATCTGTTAGCAAGTGAGCAGATCAGCAAGTGAGCAGCTTCCAAGTAGTTTTCAAAAGCAATAGACTAGACTTGAGGTGGTAAGGGCGGAAGTTACTGTAACCAATTTTTGTGCTCCAAAAAAGACTGCAACTAGAATACCAGCTGCGGGTGACCAAAACACAATTTCTACTTGCTGATCAACCAGGAGCCACGAGTCCAGGAGAACCCCAAGTCCAGATTTGCTCCTTCAGGGATAGATTGTCAGTCTCCAACCACAGGAATCTTACTAAGGTAATGAACTGATCACAATATCTTCTGTCTTCTAGAATATTGTCACCTATCCTGAGGTAAAGGCTTCTTCCACATAAGTCAGGCCAAAAAACATCTGAGTCAAGCCTATGGTTGCAGCATGGATGGAATAGGCATGGAAACTGGAGTCCACAGGCTACCTCCCGTCGGGAAGAATCTAATCCCAGTGCTTTAACTTTAGGAGGGAGGACAGTATGCCAGCAGTATACCTAATTTGTCCCAACTCAACTTCAAAGAGTATCATTTGTGGGGCAGGGCATTTGGTTACAACCAAGATCTTTTGTAATATCATCACTACCATCAACGCCTGAACCTTGGAGTCAGTTACAGAAGCATTCAAAGTAAGGGCAAATCTTAGACAGAACTACATGCCCTTCTTTGCCCAATTAAAACCATTATCATGTCAAACCTAAACATTCATCTACCTCTTCATGTGGAATGTGGTTTTATTATATAGGCTTCTGGTATTCGCCAACGGCAGCCTTAGACCAGGTTGCTAAGTAATCTGGTCTCCCATACCCATACAAGAGGCAATTAAGTAGAAAAAGGAACTGACACCAAAATGCCAAACCCATCTTTTCCTAAAACATTCTGCTCAAGGCCATCCTCTGCCATCACAGTGGTAATTTGCCCTTGCTCTTAACACTCCACCCTTAAGGTCTCAGATCTACTGCCCCCACCATATTTCCTATAAATATAGTTAGTTGTCCAGAGTTACTTTATATGGGTAGGCACATAATCCAATAAATAAATAAATAGCTTCTTAAATATAGAAAAACATACAATGCTTCACGATAAGGAAACCAAACTAATTACTATATGCAAAAACATGAATAGTCCCATAGACCATGTGACGGTTTATCAGCATTGCTCAGCATTCAATAAATTGGATTATAAATTACAGTCAACTATTTAATATTGCCACCATTAACCCAATTTGAGATTCCTTTCTTCATTTGTATAACTTATCTCTCATGTTGTATTTTACTAATTTACTTCAATTTTCAATATACTTTATTTGCTTTTGGAATACTTTGTTAATTTACCATTCTGTTTTGTATAAGTTAATGAAAATTAACTCAATCTTAACTCAATCAATCAGAATAGAGCTGGAAGGGACCTTCAAGGTCTTCTAGTCCAGCTCCCTGCTCAAGCAGGAGACCCTAAACCATTTCAGACAAGTGCCTGACCAGTTTCTGTACTTTTTCGTTTATCAGCATAGACAAACTTTGTTATATATATTTTTTTAAGTGAGCAAAACAATTTTAAAATGTAGCAGAAGACAAGTTATTTTTTTCATTCATTCTTAGGAAAAGCAGATTAATGTTTATACAATATTTTGAATATTGCAAGGTTCAAATCCTCTACACATTTTACCTATAAATAACACTGGCTAAATATGTTTTGTTTCTAAGTACAGAGCAACAGGTTTTCATTGCATCCAATCTAGTCTTTGTAGTACAACCTAATATATATCAGCACACTTGCTGATTTCAATAAAGCTTACTTTTGAGGAAGAATAGTATTTTTGTTAATATATATATAGTAACTAGTTCACAAATTATGCTGTCCTAACATCTTTAAGAATAATACGTTGATTAAGCCACAATCAACAATTTGTACCAGGTTATAAATTATAATTCGCGAATCATAATAGCTAGGTTTACACTGCATTTGAAGTCGAAACAAGTAAGTTTATAGATTAATTTTACAAACTCAGTCAATTATAACTTAATAAACTATCCAAGGATTAGTATAACTCACTCATCATTTAATCACAGGTAAGTGACTATATTTCAGATTAAAATAGTTGACAGCCTAACATCTATCTTAAATTAGAAAAAAACAGGAAAGATATGATTTTTTCTGAAACCATACTTTCATTAATTTTTTTATGTTACATTTCTTATTTTTTTAGTATCTTTAAGTTCCATAATATCCTTTCTGCTCAAACATTAATAATAAAAGTGATACAAAAGACCTTTTTACTCTCATGGGGGAAGGGGCTCCATAGATTTACTAGTCTATCATTTAAGGTAAATAATGGTTAAATATATCAATAATAGAGAAAAATAGAATTCTAAAAACAAAAAAATACTGTACAAAGGAAAAAGGGCTTTTATTAAAAATTTAGTATTAATTTAAGTAGGTTTGCTCACATTCAATCTCTCCATCCTCCTCTTCTTACTGCCCTGTTTTATTCTTTTCTTCATTGCTTGCTTTAAATGTTAAGGACTTTTAGGGTGGATACCTACCCCCCTGATTACATTTGCTTTTGAAATTCAGGGAGGTAGAATATACTAGTGGTGCTAAATAAGTAGAAACAATAAAATGCATATTCAAAAATGTTATACTCAGTAAGAATTAAGAGGGCTATCTAAAAAAACTTTTTATCCTACATTTTAAAGAGATAGTTACAACAATTTAGTTACTATTATAAATTAACTGCAATTGTAAATTGAGGCTTTGTTCACACAACATGCAAGCCCATAATTAACCCAGCTGTCTGGGTACATAGTGCACACTAGCCAATACATTAAATATACAGTACTGGCTGGGTTTGCACAATGCAGAGAGTCACACACTTTATTTTAGCCTAGGAAGTTATGCAAAACCAGGCTTATTTTGGAGCAAATTAATTTAAGTTAATGGAACTTGTTCCTCTATATTTCTACGTTTTGCATTTCACTTACTAGAAATCATCATTAAAATCAATATTACACCTATAGGCGTTTATAAAACTTTTTCTGGACTAAATGTGTCTTAGATGCTAATCTAGACAATTTATATGAGATCTATTTTAAATTTAATCAAGAATTGTAATCCTGATTAATTTAGCAGTTAACAGAATATACTAGATTTGCATCTGAAAGAAGTTCAGTCCTCTGCTAAGTCAGGGAGCCTACTGGGTGGCCTTGAATAAGTCAGTATCTTTCCACGTTGGCTAGTAGGACTATTGTAAGAATCAGCTAAAAACATGTACTATAATCCTCCACAAGCCTCAAGTAAATAATGTAAAAGAAGTGTGGCAGAATAAGTAGAATTTAAATCTTGTATTAACTGGAAAGCACCTCCTGATTATTCTGCATTATTGTTAGCCAAAATTATTCTTTTGCTTCATTTCCTGTTCTGCAATTATACACTGCATCTTCCTGTACTCCTCGTTTTAATAGCTTCAGGTCATGGGCCTTTAAGGCTCCAGATAAATGAAGCCATTTTACCCGATTCCTTTCACATTAAAGCAGAGCATTGCCAACAACCCCTTAAGAAAGTATTTTCTTTTGCAGTTGGTTTCTCATCCCGTCCCTATGTCATTTCATTCAGTTCCTTCAATTACATAATTACCTACTTAGTAAGCACAAATCAGAGGTGGGCCTTAAGCAACCTCAGGGTTCTCTGCTACAAGACACATAGTAAGACTCCACGCCAAGACTGGTAGCAAGCAGTGTGATTCAACTGTTTTAAGAATGGGTCCCATCAACCTAGTTTGAGAAATGCATCCACAGGGGACGCAGTCTCTAACAAAGCAGGCCCTGTTCCACCCTCTTCGGAAGGAGCCAATCACCTCCTCCCCACTTCTCCACCAAGGCCCTCCATTCCACCCCCACCCCCCCCAAATTCCCATACAGATTCACCCACTTAGCGACAACAGCCGCCTCCTCTCCCGACATCCCCACCTTGCCTCTCTCCATCACCACCCCCTCCCGCAGAAAAACAAAACCACCCCGACTTCCTTTTATGACAACATGTCCACAAGCCCCATCTCTCACAAAGACCATCC